CTGTCTGCAGTGTGCCGCGTGCCAGAAGCCGCTCACTGTCAGGTGTTACAGCAGGGACACCAAACTGTACTGCAGGAGAGACTACCAGCAGTGAGTTTGTGTGTGTGTGTGTGTGTGTGTGTGTGTGTGTGTGTATGTTTGGCATTTTTATTGTGTTTCTTGAGTACAAAAACAACACACCGCATTGAAGCATAGGGGGCACTGGTGGTTGTGCCCCCAGTCTCTTCTAATATATCTGGTGTGTTCATTTGCACACTGCCAATATTTACGTCTGGTTAAGAAAAAAAAAGTCATGGTACAGAACAGGCGTGTCAATAAGCTGTGTAAATGTAGACATCATTTTAACACAGTCAAACTGAGCATCGATCACGGCTTCTTTTTACGTGTTTTTGCATAAGGCTAATATTGTTGCTTTGTCTATGATTAGCAGTTTAGTTCATTTATAAAATAATATCTGACTGCATGTTAATGTATATAACCTATATGTTTATAATAATTAAAACAATATATATCGTTAACGATTTGTTGACGAACAAATAACAGAGAAAATAATAATACAAAGTCAAACAATAAAAACGTCCTCTGTTTTAACAGAGAAAATAATAATACAAAGTCAAATCTCTGTTATACACAGTTTGTGTATATTTTATGTTCTTGTGGTGCTCTCTGTGGATGTGATTGTGAATGGTTCCTCAGCTCTGTGCGTGAACCCTGCGATGCACTGAATGTATGACATGGCACTGTTGGTTTATGTTTGATGTATTTGTGCGTCTTCTTTAGACATTTTCAGACTTTTCTGTGTGATTCTGTGTGCAAGAAGAAGGGAAGTTGCAGTGCCTGCAGCTGGGTGGTCTGTCCTATTGTACTGAGTGTTTTATACAGTCTGGGCAGCGTGCTGACAGCGGGCCATGTAAGTGGTGACTAATCTCTTCTGGATTTCACTGTGAGCCTGTCTGCTTAAAAAGCCTTTGTTAATTCCCGGGGCTTTGAACACTGCAGTGTTACTGCTGCTACTGCACACTGGACGTCTGGTCACTAATAACAATGATATATCTTATATTACACATTAAAATTCTTACACCTTCGTGACAGATGAAGACCTGCTTAGGTATCCTCGTCCAGATTTCCAAATAAAAATTGTTACAAATGTGAATGCATCTAAAATTCTGCATGATCTCAGGAAACCAATCAGTAGATGCAAATGTTGTTTTGTTGGAAGTGAGCATTTTTGTCAGCCCTTTGTAAATAAGCCAAAATCAGTTTTCTCTGTTTTGCTGCTGGCAACCTTGTTGTGAGTTGGGACAAGCAGCAGTTTGATAGCCAATCTGTAACTGTCAGAACAAAAAATGTGGTAAAAACATTATATTTGACCTCAAATGTAACCATTATTGTTTCAGTCTTCGTGTCATTTTTAAAGAAGCACTCCATATCTAGCACTAAACAAAAGAGCTGTGTGAAACGAGTCCCATATATCACTATAAAACTATGCAGGTTTATGTTATTGGAAACCACTGGCGCTGTTTCAGCCTTATTCAAACAGAAAGCCCAGTGGGAGAGAATGTAGAAGTAGAAGTTGGACGCAGACACAGCAGGCTTCAGACTTGCCTTAACCCCTGGAAGCACGGGGTAAAGAAAAGACAAGAGTGGGGAACAAAGTCAAGCCGCCCCAAACAAAGGAACAACAGAGAAACCAGCAGGAGCTCCTTAAAGCCCTGCTCTGTTTTTGATACCACTGCTGATCGACAGCCATGCTCGACACAAGCAAAACACATCCTTCTGAAAAGATTTAGATGAGGTTCCACTGCCCCCACACACTACCGTCCAACTTCAAAAATGATTTAAGCCACAGTTGTGTCTTAACGTCAAAAGTGGCTGTTTGCAGAAGCGATAAACTGTTGATATTTCTGAAGCCGTAGACGGAGCTGTTAATGAAACGTATGTCAAACCAGAAGACAAAAGGTTAAATATAAACATCTCCTAGCAGCTTTTGAAGGTCACTGTCTACACTGCTACACTCATTCATCATCATCATCTCATCCACTCGTTTAAACCTGATGCAGTTCTTCTTCTCCTGCATTCACTCATCTTAGACCACCTGCCAGTCTGACACCAGCGCAGGTCAATGGGTCTATATACACAAATTACTTTGACATCCCTGTTTCCATACTCCCCACAACCAAGATTTGCCTTCGATCTCAGACCTCCTCTGAAGACATCCAGACTCAAGCTTCAGAAGGCTTGGGTTCCTTCTCTTTGTTGTCCTTGTCTTGGTTGGGGGAAGTCCAAGACTGCCAAGCTGTGGTCCTTCTTACATCTGCACCTTCTGTATGTTGAGGCCAGTCTTCTGACCATAGGATGCAGGTGTTTCTCATTTCTTACTCCCATCTTCAACTGAGACATTTTTTATGTTTTCCCTTTTTGAATTATCAAGCTCTCAGACCAAACCCAACCTAGAAATTGTCTACATCCCAAAGTATTCCATTAAAGGAATAATGCTCATTTTTCTTTGGAGCATAGGGAACTTTGAGTTGGCTGTTGTCTACAACTCCATCCATCCATCCATTTTTGTCCACTTATCTATTACCGCCACCCAAATCTCACTGCACCGTACCAGCCCCTCATTAGTCAGTCTTCAGGCTCAATCCAATGAAAAAAAAGAGGCTAAATCAGAAATAGGCACTCAATGCCTCACCCTTTCCACAGCACTCTCTTCTTTTTAATGTGTCCACAGTTACGAGACACCTTTGTAGCCCACCTCCTAAGAGGAGATCAAAATGCTGTTTGACTTCTGACCTGTGCTAGACAATCCATGTTGATGGTACATCCACCTACCCCTACAAACAGTTTATGACGGAGAGGAAAATAGTGCAGCCACCTCCCCTTACAATTAGGTAATTTGCGTTAGCCTGCTTGGAATATCAGGTATTTACATTTCCAGTATCATGGATGCTATTAATGATGAATACATAGTTGTTAACTTACAACACTTGCAAAAGATAAATATGTTAGCACGGACATACAGTAGTTTCATATTAGCCAATATGACGAGAATGACAAATGCTTAGTCAAAACAGTAAGTAAATAGTAAAACAGTTTGTTGGAAGATACTAAAAACAATTCCAAAACAAAAGTTAAAAAATTAAAAAATGTCTGACAATAAGACGTACACATTTTTTCTCCAATAAATTTATTCCAAATTATTGCATATACTTTGAAAATTTACTAAATGTATACTTACCATACAGCCTGGTAAAACTAAGGGAATATAAATCTATATAATATCTGGGATTATTTCTCTGGTTATCAACCACTAAAAATAGAGCTTTTCTCTGTCTTATTGTGACTTGTTGAGCTTTGACTGAGCAAACAGCGTATCCCCATGGCCTGAATGATGCTTTTATTTCCCTCTGCCTCTTTCACAACCGTCTGATAATTACACCTACTAATTAAAACTCCAACAAGCTGCCTATCTAAAGCCAGCCCCCATACACCATGTCTCTTCCCTTAGGTCACCCAGCTCCGGGAGAAGGGAGAGCAAACAAGAGCACGGTGGAAGAACACACACAGTCTGTTTTCACAGATTCGTCCTTTTCTTTCCCTCTCTTATACACGTTAATCCTGAATCTTTTCATAGTTGGTAATCCACCGAAGGAGTGTGGAAGCATGGGGCACAGGGCCAGCAGGGTTAAGGGGTCTCTCCTTAAGAGACTGGCCCCGTCAGTGGAGAGCTGGGCCAAGCTGATGTGGGACAAAAGATTGCTTACAGAGAAAGCTGAACCAAAGATGATTCTAAAACAAACAACAGTGTAAAGGAGGACAGCAGTCTTCAACCTTGTGAGTTGCTTTTGATGTGAACAATAGTTGTACCTGTGAGGATACATGTGATATGGATAATAGAGAAGAAAATCTCCGACCAATACGAACACACACACTTGTCACTAACAGAAAACCTGCCTTTTTAGTTTCTATAATCAATCATGCAAATACTTAGAATACTTAGAATATTTAAAGCACCTTACTTTCTCAAATACTCTCCAAGTGCAGTATACTTTTGTGTAGGCTTTGTCTTCAAGTCAGACACCAGCTTAGACATAGTATTATTTGGTAGTGCTACAAACAATTAATTTATAAACTGGTCTGATCCAGGCCCAGGCTATAATATCTGTTTAACTTAGCCAACATGAATCAGCCATCTATAGGTTGTTATTGCTCCGGAGCACTCATGGCCTGTAGGCCACATACTCACAACTAAAGCCAGTTAGTTTAATTCAAGTTGGGACTTGTTTTGTGTTGCCAAACAAACTTGTAGTCATTTTTACACTTGGTACGATTTTCATTGTCAGTGAAGTCACAATAGTTTACCTTCAAACTTGACCCTTGATGATAAAGATTTGGAAACCTTCAGCACATGGCATGTGTTCTATTCTACCACCCACAGACTCTACTTTAAATTTGATCTTAATTTGTTTGCTTTTCTGTGGTGCCTTTAAAATGTCTTACTTCAACCCTCCACCATACATGTAAACTCTCTCTCTTTCTTTCTCTTTCTCACACATACACACACTTACTGATTTGTGTGTCTAGTTGATTTAGACACACAAAATGGTTCTCTCGAAAGTCTGCATTTTTACACCCAAACACACACACTCATATGATCCCACTACGTGAACGGGTCCTGAACTGAACAACATCAGTTGGTAAATAATCAATTTGTCTTAAATCGGTCCCAGTGTGTATTAGTGCAGCACTGATGATCTGTCTCCTCCCAGTGTGTATTAGTGCAGCACTGATCAAATCCTACCTAGTGATGTCGTTGTGGTGAGTGGTTGGAAAATTCTCTCTTATTCTTTCCGTTTGAGTGAGTGGTTTGGGCCGACACTGTTTGAGCCCATGACAACATCAAACAATCTTTCACAGTGACAGGAGGTGGGAAGGGTTAACGGGTTGTCTAATGAATCTAGCCTGAACACATCTGGCTTCTTTTTTTTGGTTTCTGGTTTCACTGTGGACTCTTAACTAAGACGCTGTGTATGAGTCCCCAGTCCTGTGTAGTGTGTTGCCTGTTAAATAAGAACTCTTACAGTTCTGTGCTGGTCTTTTTGTAGTGTAGTGGTTATCATACCTGCTTTACACACAGAAGGTCCTAGGTTTGAGCCTCAGTGGAACCGCACACTTATTGGTACAGCCCGTGTGGGTTGCAGAGACTCATGCTGTAAATGTCCTGGTTGTTAGATGAAGGAACTACAGTTTTTTTTGTTTTTCCATTTTCACACTCTCTCTAGAAACACTCAGCCATGGCTGATTGGTTCTTAACTTACACCACTAACACAGTTTATTTGACGTCCCGAAGAACTTCCTGTGGGTGTAATCTCTTGTATCTTCAAAAGATCCAACCAATATGAGACCACACCCACCAAATTCTTCTTTCCACAACCTATGGACATTTTGAGGTCCTTCACCTTTTTTAAGTCCAATCTGGTCCATGACCTCAACTGTTGACTGCTCTGGAATCAAACAGATTTAAAACAGGGGCTGCAGCATTTGTAGGATCTGGGCCATGGTTTATTTATTTTAATCTATGTTACCCTTCAGTCCAGTCTAGGGTACCATAGTGTGTGTGTGTGTGTATGTGGTTTATAGAGAATATACTTGTTTATTACAGTTTCCAACAAGTAAAGAGATTAATTCAGCTTTTATTTTTGTGTCTTTTTAGGTTATTTTCTGCCAAGTGCAGCAGTTGCTTGGAAAAAATAGCACCCACTGAGTTTGTGATGCGAGCTCAGGACAGTGTTTACCACCTCAGCTGCTTCTACTGTTGTGTTTGTGAGAGACGGTTGTGCAAAGGAGACAAATTTGTCCTTAAACAAGGCCAGCTGTTGTGCAAGAGTGACTACGAAAGAGAGGCGCTCAGTCCAGCTGACTTAAACTCAGGTAATCCCTGGATAGATATGTATAGTTGACAATTACACAGTAAAATCAGAAAGAGAGCAACAAATAGCCGTGGTGAAATTATTAAACACCAAGCACAACTTACTTTTTTAACAGAGGCCACAAAGGAACAACACACGTATAAAGAATGTAAATAAAACTAGACCGGCAGCAAACAAAGGACCAACTGTCACAGTTGACACAGAATATTTAACTGTATCATTCTCATGCTGCTGACCCTTCCTCAGGTCCATCTACTGAGGTCGTAGCCTCAGTCTGTTTACTTTATACAAACTCAGGGAGAGAGTGGTCTAGTGGAGAGAGATCAGGTCAGAAGGTCGTGTGTTTAATTCAGACAAATACCAAAACCCAGATTTGGTTTCATAAGGAACGGATTATGCCATATCACTGTGTGATCCTCTGTTTTAGCAATGACTGGTTAAGCCAGAAGTGGTTCTACCCTGTATGAACCCACGAACAGGGACAGTTTAGAACATGTCATAAAAGAGAGAGAGTGAAAGAGAAAATATTTCTTACAAATATTCAAGTTCCTTAGGAATGCTCCTGCTTGTTGCACTAAAATCTGGGTTTAATAATAAATATAATTCAGTCAAATTCGGTTCCTGTTCCTATAATACCTCAGAGATGTATTTGGCTCTGGTCTCATTTGTTTTGTTCGATTATTTCTGCCCATAGATAACAGTGAGGCTGAAGACCTGAGTGTGGACGCAGAGAAGAACTGTGAGTCTGTGAAAGGTGTCGGTAACTACAAAGATCCTCATCGTTCCAAACGGCCACGGACCATCCTCACCACCCAGCAGAGGAGAGTCTTCAGAGCCTCCTTTGAAGTCTCCTGCAAGCCCTGCAGAAAAGTAAGACCTGAGTGTACTTACTGTGTACTCCTCTGTAGTACAGAGGGAGCTCATTCTAAGCCCAGGTATTTGGATGTTAATTTACCTACTGTATATCACTTCTGCAAACGAAACCAATCTTTGATTGTGGGATTATGAGATTATGTGATTAAAAACATAGTTGGATTCAAATGTGACTTTTTGTTGCTGAGTTAAAACAAATCTTTGAGAAGGTCTCCACTTTTAATCCATCTTGACCATAAAGAAAGAGAAGAAATATATTGCACCTGCATCTGCTGTATACTCAAACTAATCATATCTGCTATGTGATGTGCTGACAATCAGGTGAGAGAGACACTGGCTGCAGAGACAGGACTCAGCGTTCGTGTGGTCCAGGTCTGGTTCCAGAACCAGAGAGCAAAGGTCAGTACAGCAGCATCGACAATTCAAGGAGTACGCCGAGAATACATGTTTGCAATCACTCCAATCTTATGATACATTAGACATTTCTTCTTCACTGGCTTCAGTAACTAATCTAAAATGCTAAGTGTAGCGAGTACTTTTCAAGGATATAATCGGCTTTAAATACATAGCATATTTTAGTGCTTCTACATACTGTAATTTTAATATAAATAGTTTTTTTTTGGCCTTGATAATAGGATTTTAGAATTTGAAAAAATAAATAATGCAGATAAAGATAATTTATAAATATTCTTCATTTTTATAATTTATTTTGGTTAAGTAGCAGGAACAGTTAGTAAATTATTATGTAAATGAAAGAGGGTCATTTATATACTAAGTTCACTGTAGCAACGCTCTCTTCTGAATGGTAGCCAATTATGTTCAGATTACAGATCAGTTTTATTGTACTATTGATAGTTTCACAGACTGCAATTCTATTTAATAACAACTGCTTTAAAGTGCGAAGGAGTGACTTGTCTGGTTTGACCTGATGGATAATAAAATGTATTATGAGTGTGCACATTATTCTACCTTTATATCAATTTTATCACTGCTCCCAGCTTCAAACACTCTGTGTACATTTTACAGGCCCATTCATTAATCACATTTGGATCCACTACTGGGCCCTGGCCAAAGTTTTTGTGTGGATTTACTTGGTGTAAGATGGAAACCACTTCTCCACTGTGACTGCTGTAACTTAATACAGGCCCATCTGTCCCTTCCTTTTAAGCCATTTTATTGTTTAGGCCTTTTCCCCACAAGTGTTATTCAGATTTATAAAACATTTTTTTAATGTAGATTGAAATATAACTAGTTTGTAAACCCACTTATTTTATCGAATTGACAATAAATTAATTGGTCCCAGAGTATTAAAAGTTAAAATAAGATTAACCTCCCCGTCGGGGAATTGAACCCCGGTCTCCCGCGTGACAGGCGGGGATACTCACCACTATACTAACGAGGAGCTGAAAGAACACAGCGACATGTACGTATAAATACTTCAAAGGAACACTCTTCAAGGCTTGTTTTACATGGTTTCGTTCGCGAGTGTGCTGTGTTCATGAAAATCGTCAGGCTGCTGAACTGTTGACTGTGTTTATTTATAGGTAAAGAAGTTAGCGCGCAGACAGCAGCAACAGCAGGATGACCACAGCAGCCAAGGCCGAGGCAAAGGTGAGGATTTAGCGTCTAAACTCATCGGGATTAAACAAATATTCTCTGCGTTCACCGGTGTTACAAAGAGCTACTGGTAATTATCAGTCACATGTGATCTGCCAGGTAAAGCTGTAACGACAATTTATACAGACAAAGGAAAAATAAACGAAGGCGAGTCAGTTAGCAAACACAAACAAACACACACGCCGTGTTTCCTGAACTTCCGTATGAGTCAGATACTCGCTTTAAAGCAAGTGACGTCACTGATGGTCATTGTTGGGCTGTAATGTGACTCTCGGCTCATTGTGTTTAGCAGGCGTTTTGCCAACATGATCTGACAGCTGATATGAACAGACAGTTTAGATAAGTGTCTCAGTGCTTTGGCAAGTGCTGCCTGTATCTGCTGAGGGACTTCCAGTGTGTCAACACTGGAGAGGCAGCCAGGTTTATTACAGTGGAAGCTGCTGCTGTTAACCAAATAGGAAAAGCAAACCAACAAATGGAGCTTGTTTAGAGATGACGCTGAGATGAGATAAGCTTTAAACGACAAGTAAAATGACCACTTTCATATATAGTAATATTTAAGCACTATAGAGCTTCTATAATATTGTTATGGTCTTCCAACATATAACATTTTGAATAACATTTCAACTCGTTTTTGTTTTTTTTTTACATATACCAAGTGTGTACATAGCTAAATGGCCACTTTGATATTTGTATCTCACCTTGTAAATACTGTGTCTACCCTGCTGTTACTTTTACTACTACGTGTCTATCCTGCTGCTGTAACGAGTGAGTTTCCCCGGTGTGGGATGAATAAAGTCGTATCTTATCTTATCTCTATCTCTGTGAGCTTGGTAGAAAACCATTGATGAACTATTCATGATTTGTAGTAGTCTAGAGTAGGTGACTGCATAGATCAGTGTAGACTTTTATCAAATGTTCAAGTCTGATACTAGCAGCTTAAAGCTACTGTTTTATGATGGACATTAGTTTTTAGTTTGACGTGTGACGTGATTGCAAATCTGTTTAAATTAACTCCTAATCGTAGACCTTTCCCCCAAACCTTTTTCTGCAGTGCCCCCTAGTGTAGATATGACTTTTGGAGAGCCCCTGTTTTCTACTATGTCAGACCTCTTGCTTAGAACTCTTAAATTATATTAAATTCAATTAATTTTTGTTGAATTTTCTCAATTTTGTTAAAGGAAAAAAAACTAAAAATACTTGCTGATGTTGTAGTCGACTGTACAGCAATTGTTTTTACTGTAAAAAAAAGTACTCTAAGGGAACATGTTTTTTTTTGTTTTTTTTTTATTTTCTTACTTTTTTCCCTTTTAAGTTTAAACTCTTCAAACTAAGGAATTGCTAGGTACAAGGCTTCCCATTAGTCACTTTTTGGCAACAGCCTTAAAAAATCCGGTCATATTGAGATAAATAAAAAATCCACCTCCATGTATATATATCTATGTAGACTGAAATTCAAATGACACAAGGCTGGTTCTGGGATAACTTTGCTTCTACTTTATGCTAGTGGTCATTACAGAGGACATATCAGAGTGTATGAAGGGCCTGCTTCAGCCATACCCACGGCCCCTACTAATGAATCAGCAGCATCACACGACCTTACACCACACCGGTCACAATGCTGATCCATTCCAGCAGGGCCTCACTCCCCCACAGATGCCTGGTGACCACATGAACCCCTACGGTAAGTACAGTATTCTCTAAATCACTGTAACCACCATTTAGAATTATTTCAATTTCTACATTTTCCTCAATCACATATGAATTGAATCTATAAAATATTCACCAAGGGAGGGATGTTTCTTCTCTATCCAATTTAGTCTGAGCCGATTCAATGCAGTCTACATGGGCAGCAAGTGATCACTGAGTGACCAGGCGTGTGGCGTCTGTCTTGCCTCAGCCCACGCTCAGGATATACACATTATAAACTGTTGTCTGATTTTGCCGGTATTTCTTGCGCTGTTCAGGAACAGATAAATCCATTTTACATTGATTTCTATGGGGAAAATTGTTTCACGTTTTAAACTTTTCAGTTCACGAACGGCCTTCAGGATCGAATTAAGTTCGAAAAACCAATGTTCCACTGTATCTGTTTATGATGCAGAAATTCAAAGTGTAGTTGAGGGGCTGTAAATAGGAGGAAATAATTTCATACACTGATGCAATTTTTTCAACTCTACACCTACCAGGTATTGACAACTTTATTCAAGATTTTTATGGTGACCCTTCACTGACAAGTCTAAGTGACTGCTTTCTGGACATTGCCCATGGCTGATCTCTGCAGGCTCAAACGGAAACCTCCACCAATCACCTGTACTTTATACCTACTTTGGCCACTGAGATGCTGACATCATCTGCCTCACCATCTGATTCAACTCTAATTTCATACATTGGAATTTATACAATTATTTACATTCATACAGCAAGTACACTCCAAATTAAAACACTCACATAGAAATGTTCCGACTTAAATAAAAGATTTGTAGAGAACGTTTTGACTTACACTTTTAAAACCCGGTGTCTGAGAAAGACACTGCGTTTCCTACTGTGGCTGTAAGAGGCAACACAACAACAACAACAGCAACAACAAAGACAACAATGAAGGATCTAACTTTAAACACATGATTAAAAGGCTGAAGTTCTAAATGGTTACAGACTCCAGTATGCTTTAAAACCAACTTCTCTTTCTGACACTTTTTGGCCCTTGTTGTCTTAAAACAGCTCACAAGAGCTTAACTGTATTTTACTGTGCGTTTATGTGTAAATACCAATCTCTGTTTTACATTTATTTATTCCCCATCGTTGCTTGTATGCAATAAAAGATTGTTTCATAAAACAGTATAATGCCAATATGTTTTTTTACCTGGCTTTGTTTATTATTTATTTTAATTAATTCCGTTTTAAGCTTAATTTATTAATTTTTTTGTTGGTTTCTTCAATAAAAATCCCTGTTTTCTCAGACGTTGTTGCCTTTTTAATTGGCATTGAAACAAGCAATATAAACACAAACCTCCCCCTCCCCACCACACACCCCCACAATATTGAAATACTATTGAGAACCTGATAACATGTACTGTATATTTGCATCAGTACAAACCACTGTATGAGTTGCTGCCACCTAGTGGCTGGAGGCTTGTTATCATTCAAACATTACAGCAGTGGTTCCCCCTCGCGCCCCCTCTCCTGGCACCTCAATTCCTGCCCGCCAAACCCCCAAGGGCGCCCGTCCCACTATTTGAAACGTACTGGACGAACTCAACATGATTGTAGATCAGACAACAGGCATCACTGATGACAGTGACAACAACAAGTATCCAATCAGCAACTCAGCAACGTATTGACAAACATACGAAGGTTCATCCTTGGATAGAAGAACTTGGGATTACAGTAGTGGGTTCATCTATCTTCTGAAACTCCTCGAGGAGAACTGGAGGATCAGAAACCCCGAATCAATGGAGACAGATAACGATGTTGTTCTCAGTGAAGTCACAGTGACACCTGCTGGACAATGTACAAAATGGCAATGAAATTAACAAAACATCTGCGACAGGGGTGTCCACACTGTGTTGTCTTGGGAGCTACTTTTCAATTGACCAGACCAAAGTGATCTACCTACATTAATAATATTTAATATATATTTAGCCATATAAGTTGAATATACTTTATATATACATTATATGTTGATTAAATAGTTGTAGCTGTATGGCACAATATGATTTAATAATTATATATATGTATATGTGGAAAAGAAAGTGGCTCAGTTTAAAACTTCTAGTATTAAACTGAGCAAATTGCTTTAAGATAAATTTGTACAACTAGAAAATGTATGGTCTTCAGTAGTAGTAGTACTTTAAATACTATAAGTCCTCTAACACTTATGTTAGTCAGTTACAGTGTTACCTGCTTACCACCAGGAGGTTCTGGGTTCAACACTTAGTACACAAATCTCAAGGTGGTTTAAATCAGGAAGGACAAGAACTCTGTCAAACCATGAAGACTCTTTCATGAAGAAAGAGTCAACCTGAAAGTGAGTCCTCTTTTAATGTGAAAAAGGATTTTAAAAAAGTCATAAAACTTGATAATGTTAGTTGTAATTTTTCTTAAAAGAAATGTACAAATGGGCACCTACTAATCTGTGTTTGGGATATGAAAAAGACCAATCTAATATTGTAGGTTTTGTGGCTTGTGACTGTGATTCGACAGGAAGTCAGTAAACATTTAGTTTGCATAATCTTGTGGTCAAACTCACTGCGGCTTCAGATTGGTCAGACGTCAGGACCATGGACAGCACTCCCTCTGCACCCACTGGTTCACGCTCATACTGACAAAACAGCTCTCAGGTAAGATCACACGTTTCAACCTTGCTCATGATGAAGATAGACATAATGACACGTGAAAATGCAGTTATTTCCGATTCAATACAATGGATGTATAAAGAAGACTATTACTAGCAAATGCAGCAACAAGTACCTCCAGGTTAAATGTAAATACTCCTATAACTGAGAAACACAAGAACTAACATTTTTCGAAATTGTGTTCTAACATATCAATTTTTTTGTGGCTGAATTTCACTGTTTTGTACAGAAAAGAAATTCTGCTATAAAAACATCATCTTTAATGTTTTGTTTTCTCTTTTGTTTCCTTTTGTCCTTGTAGAAGAAATAATTTACCGCACATCAGACTCAACCAGGACCTAGAGTTATTATTCATTTTATTAAAATTTTATTTAAAACACCAATATTTAATATTTGTTTTTGGCTCTTTCTAGGAAATAAAACTGCTCTGGTAAATAGTTTAAATGTATTTGTCCAGAATGGAGTTTGGATGTTTCATGGATATGAATGAGCTCTGTCCTGTCTGTGGGGATAAAGTGTCGGGATATCACTATGGTCTGTTGACCTGTGAGAGCTGCAAGGTATGTAAATACTGTATTTGTCTATTCATTTTTTTGTTTTGGTTAATACAATTTATCTATGTTGTGCTATACTCAATATACTACTTACCACACACAATTAAATTTAGGGGTGTTATAATCTATTTAGTGCATAGTATTTACATGCTGTTCTGCATGTAAATAAATATCTCTTGGTTTTTGCAGGGTTTTTTCAAAAGAACAGTGCAAAACAAGAAGATGTATGTGTGTTCAGAAAACCAGAGGTGCAGCATTGATAAAACACATAGGAAACGGTGTCCATTCTGCAGGTTCCAAAAGTGTCTGCATGTTGGCATGAGACTGGAAGGTAAGGTCCAAGTCTTTACCTTCTTCACTACAATTTTTAAAAGTAAAAAATTGTCCAGCTATATTATGTGTATTGTACAAGAAGTTAGCATTTGGTCTCAAGTTCTCAAGTTCTATTAGGACATTGTTTAACAATGAAACTATGGACAAGTTATCAACTGAAAATATATATCATATAGACATATAATGTAAATAGAACTGGTGATAGTTTTATTAGAAGAACATTTAAAATATAGAATCAAATATATAATGATAATAAAATGACCAAACCACAATTTTCTAAAACATAATATTTTCAGAAATAATAGATTGACATGCAAATAGTTTATGCATGTCAATTACATTTTTTTAATATAATGAATCCATTGTTAAATCTTTGATGCATTTTGAGTCATTTCTCAGTTCAGCTGTAAAGTCAAACAAATATTTGTATGTATACATTTTCTTCATTATCTTCTTCCATATTAGAGTATAACATTGGTCAAAGTCAGTAACAACCATGGTGAAATTCTTTAACCAAAATAACCATTGTCAACAGCTGTTCGGGCAAATCGAGTGCGGGGTGGAAGAAACATGTTTAGGCCCATATACAAGTGGGACCGTGAAATAAAGCAGCAGAGAAGAGCGTTAATTCAAGCTCCCAAATTCACACAAGAGACTCGTGAACCACTGGTCACTCCAACAGACCAGGGAATCTTCACCCTACCTGAAGATCATGTTGCCAGGAGCTCCTCATTATTCACAACCAAAAATGACTGCATGACTTCATCGCCACCTCTGCCAGCTCAGCCAGTATTCAACCAACCTACCACCCTCTTAGCTTCAACAGTGAATACCGACAACTGTACGAGTACTGCCAACTCAGAGCTATACTGCACTGTCCTCCAAGGTCCGAGGACGTCTCAGCTGATGATGGAATTCCTTCACTGGGATCAAGATGATCTACAACTGCAGAAAATTGTTACAACGGTTCTCCAACAGGAACTGAAGAAACACCCGAGTCTCAGCAGCTTTAGCTTAATGTACCTGATAGCTGATCAGCTCCTGTTCACCATTGTGGAATGGGCTCGCAACTCCATACTCTTCAAGCAACTAAAAGTAAAATCTCTTCTGGTTACGTTTTTAAATATTTCTTTCTTTTTCTTGGTGTTGTGATTTGACTTCATTTGATGTATTTGACGTCATTTGATGTATCTGGTGCTTGTTTTCTGCTTCAAGGTGAATGACCAGATTAAGTTACTGCACAGCTGCTGGGCTGAACTGTTGGTCCTGGACATTGTATCCAGACAGGTTCTGGATGGGAAAAATGATTGTCTGGTCCTGGTCACTGGACAGAAGGTAAGAGCTCTTCAATATCTCCTATCCTAACAAACCCATTCTTACTCTATGACCTACTATGACTGCAACTGTACTTTTACTATTAATTATTATTTATTACTATTACTGATTATTAATGTATTTTGTAGGTTTACTGAAACTGTATTGATGATTGAATTGTAGGTCACTTTGGATATAGTCTGAGTCTAGTACCAAAGTTTATGAGTCGATTATAGGAGGGTGAGACAGAGCAGACCATGACACGTGGCACTTTTAAAGACATCAAAATTCTGTTTCAGGTGCACCTGTCAGACATGGCCACCTACGCAGATCCTGTTTTGTCCAGTCTGTTCCAGCGAGGACAAGAGCTGATTGATAAGCTTTATATCATTAAAGTAAAGCGACAAGAGTTTGCCTGTATCAGGTTCCTTACCATTTTTAACCCAGGTTATTATTTTTAAAGGTTTTCAACTGCAATTTAACTAACTTGTCTTGTTCAATGCTGTGCTTGTTAAAATGCTTTTAATTCTTTAGCCCTGATTACTTGTCTTAGATAAACTGACCCGTGAATGTTGGTATCTGTGTTACTTTTGGCCACTTGACTGGAGCTGCTAACCTAATTTCATTGCACTGTACTGGTGTGTTCTGCAATTCTATTTTATTCTCTATTTTATTTTTATTGTCATTCATTCTATTCTACTTTTGAAGTGCTTTTCTGTGTGCCATGTTTTCATTTTAATTGTCATGCCTTCCTCACTCTAGAAGTAAAAGAACTCCAAGAACATCAGCTGGTGGTGAAAGTGCAAGAACAGGCTGAAAGAGCCCTTCTGGAGTATCTACTGTGTACTTGCCCCCAGTACATGGGTCATTTTACTAACTTGCTGTCGTGTGTCTCCGAGTTACGCTCCCTAAGCAACTCTGTTGAAAACTATCTTTTTCTCAAATACACGACTGGTGAGGTGCCGTGCAACAACCTGCTCACAGAGATGCTCCAGGCCAAATATAGCTGTGCATAAATTGGTTGTATTACAGTACAATATTGGGTTGACTAGTAAAGCATAGTGTAGGAAAGTAATGAATGTTACAGCATATTTTATAGCAGATGGTGTAACATAGCATAGCATAGTATAACAGCATAGCATAGAACAGCATAGCATGATATACTAAAATATAGTATAGTATATGATATTATAGTATAGTACAGTACTTTATAGTTTAGTATAGTACAGGAAAGTACAGCGAGATTTTGCAGTTTTTAAATTGACTGTACACTTTACTGTAGTCCACGAAACTTACTTTTATTTAATGAATTTAATGTATTCCAGTTCATGTGAGGCAACAGTACACTTAAACCTCTGCAGTATGTTTTGTGACGTGTATTGCTAATACTAGCTCTACTTTAACAAAAGGCTCAATCAACATAATGCACTTGCCTTATCTTGTACTGATGCCCTTTTTGATGGTATCCCATTACTGAGCCTATTTCCTAACAACCTGGTAGCCCAGCTGGCAGCATGTTGGCAACCTTCCTACTCTGGCTAGAACATGGCCTTATAAGTAAATACAAACTACGACTGGTACGGAAAAAAGAGAGGATCTGGTTAAATAAAAACGTTACCCCTTCAATAAAGTAAACGGATAAGAAAAAAAAAGTCTATAATGCTACCTATGAATAGTATTATTGTAAATATAATTACATTTGCTTGTATGTGGATTTGCGAATCTTACCAAAGGTTCAGTGACAGTGACTGTTTCCTTCTTTTCCTTCTTACATCAGTCCTTATTGAATTGTTACATACGTATAAAAATATGCCGAACCAACATAGGATTTTATGTGCAATATGCCAGAATTCTATTATGTATTATTATTTTTTATTGATTTTAATTAATTTAGTCAGTCACTCTGACTTCAAAGTTCAAAGACAATTTAAATAATTATCTATTTCAGTTATATAGTTATATATATAGTTTTTCCCAGTTATATGTGTATGGTCTTATGTTAAAGGTTGTCTTTTAATGTTATTGTTTTGCCATTTTGCCTGCCTTTATGTATTTCTGTGCTAATTTAGAATGATCTTTTCTCTCCTCTTGGCTGTATGTCAAATATTAGAGATATATTACTTCAGAGAGACAGAGACAGAGAGAGAGAGAGAGAGAGAGAGAATTATGGAGGTTAAATATACAAATAAAAAATAGATTTTTGTATTATCTGTTGGAGGCTTCTCCATTAATACTTGTGACAACTTCGTTGTTTGTATCATTTACATTTTTTGTTAGTTGAATGGTGAACTTTGTTATCCGTAGCAATACAACAATTTTTAGTTTCTGGTAGGTAATAATGATTTTGGATTAAAAAAAGTCCCTACCACATGCCAATTAAATAATGCTGTACCGCATAAGTAAAATAAAATAATAAATGTTTATAATACATGGCAAAAAAATCCACTTCGGGCAAATTCAGACAAAATAGTACTAAGGGAAAACGTTTTCGTATTTCGTTCCATCGTAACACGTACACCACATGTATGTCACGTTACAGTATTTATTAAATAGTGTTTCCTTGTATCTATAAAACAAATCGGCTTTAAGTACATCGAGAGCACATGTCATTACTTCCGCTACTTCCCGGAAGTACGAACATTCATTTACCAAGATGGCGACTCTCACAGTAAACCGACCACCGCTCGGCGGTTTTAATTTCGAAAACTGCAAAAGGTATGGATTTGTTTGAAAGTGGAATGATCTGAATAACTTCTCTTCTTATAAATGTCACTTTGAATTTTGTGTTAATCCAAATTATGTATGCTTGGTATAGATTTTTAGGGATGCTAGGATATGCTAACTTACAATGACTCAGGCGTTTGGATGTAGACAGCGTTATCAGTGTTACGATGCTCTTTGCTGAAATTATTCGGATTCACAATGTTTTGGTGGAAACGAACAATACGATGCGCATATTCAGTATATTTATTATAATTTGAAATATACTGTCAATATTATTTCGAATCAACTTCTTCGAATTTCGTTTGAATCGGATGTTACGAGTTGCCCATTGTGTTGTGCCCATTGAATTTAAAATGAATGTTATATGACCCAGGGATATCTCACATGGTCATGATAGTATTCTCACTCAAACCAATGTTTAATTATGTAAATAATGACTTGCTTACTGCATTATTTTAACTTTAAAATATTCATAATATCAGTTCTAAACATGTCTGTTGCTCCGTAACAATTAACAAAAGCGCTGCTAAAGTTTTCATTTGTTACCAGCTTTTTTATGATTCCTTATTAACTACTACTGAGAATTAAGTTATCAAACAGTAAGTATTAGATGATCTGGAAATCACCATTGTATCTATTATAAATGGGGGGAAAATATCTGTATTGCTTTATTAGGGGAATGTAGTGCATGTGAACCTTTAAGTCAACTAGACTGCGTTGGTACCAGTTTTATGTACCAGTATACCAATAGGTGATATAGAAGATTTTGCAATGACATTAAAAACATTTACACCAATCAAATTGCATCTTGATCTCAACTTTGGTGTTATATATTAAGGGAACATACCAACTAATATAAATAAACAAGACAGAAATCTATTACAATAATTGTTGGCAAGTATTATTTTTTAGACTTGATGTCTCTGCACTGTGACACTGTGGTCTTGCTCATGACCTGATTTAGTCAGCTCTTAATTTTGAAGACAACTTACCATTGTGTTTTGCTGTAGATGACCCTGTCTGATGTACTTGTTTTGTGTGTTTATATTCTTATATTTTATTTTTCTTGTTCTGTTTAAAAAAACTATATATATATCAAGGATTCATGAATAATTAAATTATTTTGATCTGCTTTGACATTGTGCTGAAAAATGTGCAATTTGTCACAGTTGGTACACATTGTGTCACTGTGAAAACGTTCAAATCTTGGATCTGTAAACAAATGTAAGGATTGAGATCTCGAAATCTTTGCTTGTGACATTATGACATTCTGCTTCTGTAGCTGTTTATATGTTTGTGATGTGGTGAACTGGCCTGAGAAATTGTATTATAAATGTACTACTGCTATCAAATTTAAAGTAACATATTTAAATTTTTTCAGGAATGCAGCTTTGGAATTTGAGGCTAATAAAGTGGGGAGCAGTTTACCTGGTGCTCGGAAAACAGGAACTACAATCTGTGGTGTTGTTTACAAGGTCAGTGAAATAAAGCCTGTCTCCTTAAACTTACTTTTTAGTTCTGAAACGTTTCACACAAGTAAGAAAGTGAAACATGAATGAAGCATCATTGAATTGCTGTAGCTACCCCAGCTGCTGCTGACACAAAACCTGTTTGTTGTTATTTTCTAAAGAAACTTAAATCACCATGGAGCTGCTTAAGTGTATTGCATTAATGTTTGAACATCTTTTCATGTGAAGGATGGTGTCGTCTTGGGAGCAGACACTCGTGCCACTGAGGGCATGGTGGTGGCAGACAAGAACTGTTCCAAGATCCACTACATATCCCCTAACATTTAGTAAGTATTCTATTATAGAGTAAGTGATTTTAAATGGAAACATTTTCTATGTATATGCAGTTCATCAGTTTGTTCTTGTTGTCGTTTGTCATTTGGAGTTTTCTTGTCTTATCAATTTGCTGTTATGGTTTTTGTGTTGTTGTGTAGCTGCTGTGGGGCAGGAACAGCTGCAGACACAGAGATGACCACCCAGATGATCTCCTCAAACCTGGAGTTGCACTCACTCTCTACTGGTCGGATGCCCCGTGTGGCCACTGCAAACCGCATGCTCAAACAAATGCTCTTCAGGTATCAATTGGAAAACTGCCACTCCATGTCAAATGAAGGCTAGCAACCATCACAACAGTGTGTTGTCTGGTTAAACTGCAGCCTGTAAAAGTATACATTTTTGTGTATATATGTATAAATATATTATAATTATATATATTATAATTATATGTAATTATACTTATTTGTGATCATGTAAGTGATTAGTGCTGCTGCCTCTGGTTCTGCAGGTATCAGGGCTACATCGGAGCTGCTCTGGTCCTGGCTGGTGTGGACTGTCACGGTCCTCATCTTTACAGCATCTACCCTCACGGTTCCACTGACAAGCTGCCCTACGTTACCATGGGTGAGTCTCTATCACACGCTTGCGTGCATGAGTTTTGTGTTTTACTGATAATATTATATTTTATGTGAATACATTTTTTAAGGTAACATAACCTGAAAATGGTTTACATAAAAAACTTAATTTATATCAGTAAATATGAATGCAGTTGTTTTATCAACTCAGCTTAAAGTAAGAGTCGCTCTTGCATTAAAGACACGATTTCTCCGGTCTGAGAACATGGGCCATGTCATACATCATTGAGCCCCTCCCCCTTCTGTTTTCATAGGCTCTGGCTCTTTGGCTGCTATGGCTGTTTTTGAGCATCGTTACAAGCCTGACATGGAGGTGAGTCTGATTCCACTGGACTCGGGGGGGAAAAAACACTTTAAACAAGGCTGCCTTGTGTGAGAGGTACTGTAGAACTGCAGAACAAGTCTCTGTGAGACGAGGTCTGTGATTTAGGTGTAATGAGAGAGAAGTTGTGGGTGCTGCACACCTTATCTCAGTCACAAATAGTGAAAAAGACAATAGTGAACAAGAACTGAGGCGAACCGGTTGAACCATATTTGATTTATTGTATTTGCACTGACATCAACCCCTTTTTACTGCTTTCTCCAACTGCACTGGCCCCAAAATTAGGGAATGTGCCTCTGCTGGCTTCTGCTCAATAGGAATTATCCTAACATATAGTTATTGATAGTCTGTTGATGATGCTTATTTTTTAATGGAGGGAAATTTCTATATACTGATAATAATTGTCGTGTTATTTCTTAGCAGTACCTCAAAGGACGGTAGCTCAAAGGACAGTAGCTTAAAGGTGTGTAACTCCTATCTGTTCATTTTTGTTTAAAGGAAGAGGAGGCTAAACGTCTGGTCCGTGATGCCATTGCTGCAGGAATCTTCAATGACCTTGGATCTGGAAGCAACATTGACCTGTGTGTGATCACCAAGAACAAAGTGGACTATCTACGTCCCCATGATGAAGCCAACAAGAAGGGCGTCAGGTGAGGGCTGCCACCATCAGTCTATCAATGTTCTACTGTTAATCTTTGACATTAATTATTTAGAATATTGCAAATATGATTAAGACATACTGTGATAGTTCATGTTTTATTGAGGTTTTATCTGTATTAATAAAAGAAAAAACACATTGAAAACAACACTATAAACTAATTATATACTAATATAGCATGAATAAAGCTACAAATGAGCTCATTAAAACGTTAGATAATCATTTCTGTCTGCTTAAGTCTTCTTTCACATCAGGAATGATTGAACCAACCTGCTTAAGTCACTTGATATTCTTTGTTACGATTTTTACCAACAGAAGGCGCTGTCTCATTTGTTCTGTTCAGAGTGAATAAGATTGAAATAAAACAGTTTAGAGAACATGTTAAGCTAAAGGTTCCACTGTTGGAGAAATAATGTTCACGGTGATGTGTGCTCAGATTGGATAGTGCTTATTTTGCTAGTATTGTAAAGTATATACTTTAATAGTATTAAACTTTAAATGTCCTTCAGTTTATTTAAAAAAAAATCCATGATAATTTTTTCTCCTCATTCAGAACCGGTGACTACAAGTACAAGAGAGGAACCACTGGTGTGCTCACAAAGTTGTCAACCCCACTGAACCTGGAGGTGGTGGAAGAATCTGTACAGACCATGGATACGTCCTAAAATACTTCACTCAACACAAATGGCAATGTTAGTGTTCCATTTTTTTCAGTTGTTTCAATAAAAGTGTTTGGAATTACTGTTGCTGAATTTCAGTAACTTTTGATGGATGAATCAAATGGATGATGGATGGATTCTGAATACACACAGAGGACTAGGGAGCAGCTTAAAGGCAGGTTTGTCCCAGTCTTAGAAGTAATTAATACTGTAGAATATTGGTTTTCAAACACGAAAACCAATGAAAAGAATTAGATCTAACAAAAAACCTAAACACAACTGAATAAAGCTATAAATAGGAAAGGCAATTTCATTCATCCTTACCGGTGCTGAGGAGTATGTTCACTTTTTCAAAAATTCTTGTTTCTGAAATACTGTCGTCTGCCAACTGCTTTCTGTAGCAACTTTTCCACTTCTTCTAATGTCTGAGATCTTTGCTTGGTGATCACAGTCACTCCTTTGGGAATCTCAGCCTCTTTTATTGCTTCCTTGTTCTTAATGACGGTACAAATCGATGACTTTGCTAAGCCATACCATAAAGCTGGATCTGAAACACGAACACCATTCTCGTGCTGTTTGTATAATCTCCTTCTTCACTTCTGTTGTTGTTCTCATTACTTTTCTTTCCGCCTTTCCACTTTCACTAGCTTTTTTAGGTCCCGTGGTGATTTTTGGAAAAATAGGCGAAAAAGCTATGGCAAAATCAAACAACGGTTCTCGGCGTGTATGCACCTAGCAAACTGAGGCTAGACTGAACACAGTCTCTCAGTCATCACCTGCCCATGTGATATTGTTGGCTTGTTAGGCAACTGAGTTGTGGTATGACAACTGGGGAAATTTTAGGTTAAAAATTTGGTTTGACATCCAATTTGTTTGAAAAGGGAGTCATTAAAAAAAGGTCAACAACCATGTGGAGACTACAAGAGGTGCTCTGAGCATGGCACCGTCCCCACACACTGCTCCCCTGGTCCTTAAATCCCACTGTTCACTTTGGTGATGGGTTAAAGCAGAGGTCACATTTGGTTGTGTGCAGTGGTGAGCTGTGTCACAGTTGCAAGGAGTTCACTATCGTTCCTTTTCCTTTCCTTTCTTAATTGAAAGTAAACTATTCTATGTGCCTGGCTGTCTATAGGCAGCTTATCAATGAAGTCCATAGCAATGGTCACTTTGTGGATAGGGTGGTAGCTGACAGACTGAGTGTTGTGTCAATCAATCTGTTGACTCACAGAATCGCACACATTACGGTCTGAATTCGTTGTTTTGATACTGTGAAGGCGGCCATGTGCAGTGTGTTGAATTTTGGCTAAGAGGAGTGGGTGGAGATTCTAAACCAGCATCCTGGAATATGTGGAAAAGCGGCTTTTCTGTCAGACATGTTGTTGAATCTGATGAAAAATGACATGGTACACGTGAGTTATTGCTATAGTATTTTACTGTGATCAAAGGTTGGCGTACCAAAAAAGTATATTTATTTCTGAATTTTAACCACAACAATAGACATAGCTAAGTGTTTTAAGGCAATTGAGTGTAATTTTCTAGTAAAAATGTTTTCAAAATGCAATATTTTGGTGACAAATATGTAGAAAAAATAAGATTTTGAAAAATAATTTTACAAAAATGTTACAAAAATGTTAAATGTTTCAATTTTTGATCAAAAATGACAAAAAGCTAACATTTTGACAACATATTTTATGAAAAATAATGCCTTACTATAGCCTTACCATCGTAAAAAAATACAAAAAAATAAAAAGTCCCCGAAATGCCCTAAAATGCAAGAATGCACACTTGGCAGGATGTTTTATGACATATTCTTGCATTTT